AATTTGCCCCTTGTCAAGTGATTGTTTAACGTTTTCAAGCAACAAATTTACCGCGGACTCTGTAGAATGTTGACGCCTGAAACCAAACTGAAGGGGATGCAGAAGATTGTTACTTTCTAAATGTAGTAATAGTTGTTCCAGAATAATTTTCTCCAGCACTTTAGACATGACCGGAACCAGACTTATTGGCCTATAGTTGCTGATTTCATGTCGACTTCCTGATTTAAAAATAGGTTTCACCAAAGATTTTTTCCACGCATCGGGAAATTGCCCGGTTCTAATGGAAATGTTAACTATATGAGTTAAAGGTTCTACTAAAATGTTACTGTATTTTTTTAAAAACATAGCGTCTAAATTATACATGTCCTTTGCGTGAGAATTACTTAAAACTGTTAATGGCTTTTTGAACGTCAGAGTAATGAATTTCCGTAATCTCAAAGAAATCAGAACACTTTTTAGTCGGTTTTGTACCATGTGTTTCCATTGGAACTGGCGGAAACTTTGATGCCAATTCTTTAACTGAAGAGAGGAAAAATTTTACATGTAACCTTTCTATGACTTGATTCCTGTTTGTGTGTCTTTTCAGACGAAGCAGCAGTTGGTGGTAGAGGAGAAGTCTGACGTCAAATACTCTGAAGTCTTTTTGCTTGATAAGCTGCAGGATGTGGAGCAGCACGCCTACCCGCTTGTCTGTAATGTTCAGAGTGATTTGTCCTCCCTGTTTTCTTCACCTCATGTCAAAATAGGAAACGCTTTTACCAAAAACCTACCTGAAGCCATACAATCCTCCATCGATGACCTGGACGCCACATCCTGCATCTACTCCAACGTCTTGCACTGGGTACCTGACAACAATCTACCTTCCCCTCTGCTGCCTCTCTCTGATCTGTACGTCATGAGTCAAACCAGACCCGTCTGCATTCATGATATCCAGCTGCCAGCAGAGGGCGCCAGTGAGTCATCTGGTTACCAACATTCAGAACATCAGGAAAACTGCAGCTTTCTGAAACGGCTTCCAATCCAGATATCTTTGTCTGATTCCAGCAGAGCTTCTCATCAGACAGAAGATGACAAGCCGAATGCCGCTCTGTTTCTAAATGAAGATGATCCTTTAAACAGTTTTTGGAAATTATTTCCACCGGTTCCTCAACTTGGTTTAGTGGATTTATTCCCCAGCCCTGTGCAGTGTGGTCCTTACATCCCCTCTCATACTTAGTCTCAGGCTCATTGGAGTTAAAAAAAAACGTGTACATGTTGTTCAGACAGGGGTTAAATTACGGAAAACATTTTCAAGAAAATAAGATGTACAAATCATCTCAGAAACTGTAAAAAAGGTTTTAACTTGTTTGGAGTTGAATCTTTTTTTTTTTTTTTTTTTTTTTTTTGGGGAGGGTGGGGGTCTCAAAAATACAAAAAAAAATTCTGAAATTTATATTTTGGTTATTTTTTGTCGTTATTTTTATGTTTTGTTTGTGTTTATTTTTGTAACGTGTTGTTTGACATTATTTGCTCTCACGATATGCATACTTAAAGATGAAGACGACTCAAACAGCTGTTTTCATTAGTATCTTGCTTGGTTTATAAAGTGGCTTTTTATTTTTAATGAACTACTAATTTTTGTATGCTGCTCCATCTACAGCCAGCAGAGCTTTTTGTGGATAATAATTGTGGGTTGTTTAGTGAAAAAAAGCAGGATGCGCACAGCTAAAACTGTAGCTAAAACAAACATTAGCAAGGAGGCTAACAAAAAGTTGCTTGTAGCAAAAACTAAAACCAAAATAATAAACAAATAATAATAAACAATAAAATAAATAAATACAAGTAACAGAAGAAGAAAAAGTCTAGCAAAAAACTGAAAGTAGCAGAGGACAAGCTAAAAGTTGCTCATAGCTAAAAGCCAAAAGTAACAGAAAAGTAGGCCTATATTTACACAATAAAAATAAGCAAAATGCTAACTAAAAGTAGCCTTGTAGATAAAACTTAAAAGTAACAGAATAGTGAGTCTAGCTCAGCAAAATGGTAGCAAAACGCTAATAGTAGCAGAAGACTAACTTAAAATTGCTAAAAGTATAAGAACAGTGACTAAAACTAAAGGTGTAGCTAAAAACTAAAAGTAGAAGCTTAAAACAATAATAATAATACTTATAGTTGTCCTGATGCATCTCAGTAATCCAGGTAAAAAATCAAAAGGAAAAAAATTGTATAGGTCTTCTGGACGGGTTCTTCTCTAATGAAACGTTTCGTTTCAAAAGAAGACATTTTTGTGAAGAAAGACCGTCCATCATTAAACAGAGGTGGAGGCCTCCGTTTTCAGTTGTCCCCCTCC